GAACAGTGGAAAGTTGTTGATCAGGGGTAGACAGGAGCCAATAGCTTTGCAAAAGAGACCAATTGAGGAGCTAGGGCCAAAGTCCAGGCAGGAGAGAAGGTGAGGCCTGAACAGGGCAGTGCCTGTCAGCCCAGGGAAGAGGGGTGAGGCTCCATAAGCACTTTGGAGGGAAAAAGACTAGGGCTTGGATGTGGGGTTGGAGGACAGGTCAGAGGCAGGAGGGCTTCCAGGAGGCCATTCACTGAAGCAGGTGGGGAGAGGAAGGGAGAGGAGACCCGGGAGACAGTAGGTGGCCCAGAGCAGGCTGACAGAGGCATTTATCACTCCTGATCCAGAGGGAAGAAGTGGGGATCACAACAGGTAGAGGTTACTCCTGAGACCAGACTAAGGATCTGGAGCCAGTCGGTATTCAGATGACAGCTGATTAAAAGTAACTTTCAGAGCAATCTTGAAAGGCAAGAGAAAGCTCAAAAGTAGAGCCTCGAGTAAGAGCAAGATTTGCAGGGCAGCTTCACTGTATGGGCCTCCTTGATCAAAACATTCCCACAATGCCCTGCTACCTACCAGAATAAAGTCTGGCATCCAAGGCTTCCTGTGGCCTGGCCCCATCCTATCTCTAGTGAACATTTCATATTTCATCTGCTCATGTTTGGCCCTTCTCTTTCCTCTTGTGAAAGCAGAGCCCCTTCCTTTCGGGGCATTTTTCCACCCCCAGGTCCAGCCATATGGCTCAGGTGGGGATTATCAATCATGGCACCCCGAATCCCATGACCATGGTGTGAGAGAACACGGAACCAAGTCTAGTCAGTCAGAGACCCTCTGCAGTATTTCGGGAATTTGGAACAAAGGAAAGAGAATGACTTCTCTCTCTGATGAGGAAACTAAAAGGCATAAACTAGAGATTGCTGTTGGGCACAGTTCCAACTTGGAGAAGAAAGTGGTCTGAAAAAACGAAGCGGGGAGAAGAGGGAGTTAGTGTTTCATGGGTACAGAGTTCCGGTTTGGGAAGATGAAAAAGTTCTGAAGATGGATGGTGGTGATGGTTGCATGACAATGTGAATGTACTTAATGTCACTGAACTGTACACTTAAAATTGGTTAAAATGGTAGAGTTTATGTTACAGATATTTTATCACAATAAAAAGAAGAGGAAGAAGAAGCTGACATGCAGAAAAGCAAAGATGAATGCTGGAGTGCAGGAGCTGCATGTTCCCCTGCATGCAGTGGGTCCTTGAGCCCAGCAGCTGTAGTACAAAGGGTTCAAAGGGTTACAGGAACAAAAATTCACTCCTTTGGCCTGGGCTTGTTCGAGTTCAGCTTCTGTTCCTTGCATCCAATGGAGCCATAACACAGAATGTTTCCATTCCACTTCTCCCTCATGTCGTTCCAAACATTCTCTACTCCCATCATACCCTGCTGCTCACACTTCCTCAGACTGATCCCACATTTGTACCCCCTATGCCTTTCCTCTTGGCTCCCTCAGTATGGAATGACCTTTTCCCTTCTTACAAGCTTGTCAACTCTTATTCACCCTTTGAGACCCAGCTCGAAAGGCTCCTCCTCAGGAAAGCCATCTCTGGCTGCCCTGAGCAGAGCTTTCCATGCCCTTCGCTGGCCTGTCCTGGCTTTTCATAAATGTCCTCACCATTTAGCATCCGATGACCTGCCTTCTCACCTGTAACCTCCATTAGACTGTTTTTCATCTCTGTAACCCCAGTGCCCAGCAAAGGGCCTAGCACAAAGTATATATAATACATGTTTACTGAATGAGTGAATAGATGAGTGGGAATCCTTTCTCCCTCATGCCATTGCTCTGAGTCACTACTCAGTTTCTATCAAGGAGAAACACCGAAGGAAGTGTGGGAAGAATTGCTTTTGTCCCTCTATTCAAGGGTAATGGATTCAGAAGGGAAGAAAAGCCAGCAGAAATGGGGCCATTGAAAAGTCCAGTGGCATATATGAGAGGTCAGCTTCCCGCCAAAACATTGGTGACAGCTTTGAGCTGAGGCAGAGTTTGTTTGGGAACCGGTGCCAAGATAAGCAAACATTTGGTGGCGTTGAGCTTTTCAGCAGCATAGGATTCTGACGGCTGTTTCTGTCAGCTGCACAGGAAGAAGCATCTAAAAGGCATCTGTCTGGGTCTGCCTGGAATCAGGGGTCCCCATCTCCTTGAGCACAATCTGACCCAGGGAACAAGGCAGCCCTTTCTCCCACCCTCCGTTCCCACCATAGGCATATACCTTCTCTAACGGGGTTCTGCAATTGGTCAGGTCGTTGGGCACTGAGAACAGAGTCAAAGATGACTGTAAGGAACAGGCAGAGAAAATACTGCTTACTAAATAGCCTATGGTTTCCCCCTACATTTTCCAGCCTCCCTTGCTTTTAGATTGGGCTCATGTGACAAGTTCTGGCTAATGGTCTGTGAGTGTAAGTAACGTTTGTCATTTCTAGCCTGAAGTATTTAATTACTGGTGCACAACAATCCAGCTCTCTTTCTCCTGTTGAGGCAATCCTGAAAGCCTTGTGTTGAGAGAGCAGAGCCCAGGATGGAAGTGGCCTGGATCTCTGAGTTGCCCATTGGAGTGGAGGAGAGCTACCCTGGACAGTGCCTTAACACCCAGCTAGTTTTGCATGAGTAGGAAAAAATATGCCATTGCTGTGTTAAGCCATGGAGATACTTGGATTGTTTGTTACCACAGCAGAGTCTAGCCTATTCTGACTGACATATAGACATTATTTGTTGTTTTATCCATCCAAACCTCCTCCTTGAGAATAAACCCTCCCCCTTCTTATAGGACTCTGGTATTGCCAAATCCAGTGTTCACTTCTCTATCCTTATCTTTTGATTTTTCAGCAGCATTTGTCACAATAGACCACTCCCTCCTAGAAACATTTTATCTTAGTGTCTGTGACATCATGCCTACTTGGTTTTCCTCCTATGTCACTGGCCCCTACTTCGCAGTTTTCTTTGTTGGCTCTTCTTCCGCTGTTTCGTTTGTTTGTTTGTTTGTTTGTTTGTTTGTTTGTTTGTTTGTTTTGAGACACAGTCTCACTCTCTTGCCTGGGCTAGAGTGCTGTGACATCAGCCTAGCTCACAGCAACCTCAAACTCCGGGGCTCAAGCGATCCTCCTGCCTCAGCCTCCTGGGTAGCTGGGACTACAGGCACGCGCCACCATACCTGGCTAATTTTTTCTATTTTTAGTTGTTTGGCAAATTTCTTTCTATTTATAGTAGAGATGGGGTCTCACTCTTGCTCAGTCAGGCTGGTCTCGAACTCCTGAGCTCAAGCAATCCTCTTGCCTGAGCCTTCCAGAGTGCTAGGATTACAGGTGTGAGCCACCGTGCCCAGCCTTCTTCCGCTGTTTTATTTCAAAAAATTGAAGTTCTAGAGACCTAGTTTTTAATAAGACCCATGAGAAAGATAGCTGGTTACCTTCCAATATTCATTCTACCATTCTTTATTAATAACAGATCCTCTATTTTTAGCTGGGTACATTGTACCCGGTTAAGAGACTACATTTCCCAGGCTTCCTTGCAGCTAAGTATGGCCATGTGACTATGTTTTGGCCAATGAGATGTAAGCAGAAATGTGCGGGACTTCTAAGGATGTCTTCGAAGGAAAAGGGTGCGCCTTTTTTTCCTTTTTCCTTCCCACTGTTTGGAATGTGGACCGTAATAAGGTGACCTTAAGATTGGAAACCAAATACTGAGGATGGCTTAGCCCTGAACTGCTTAAATTTCTGGACTTAAATCTCTGGACTTAAATTTCATGGAAAGAGAGATAAATTTCTATTGTAAGCCATTTTTTCCTTTTGTTATTCACAACTGAATCTAATCCTAATTGACATTCCCATTGCTGTTGAAGCTGTTTGCTTGCCTCCCATTAGGAAGCCTAAGGGTCCAGGTCCTCCCTCAGTCAGAGGAGTGGGGAACTGACAGAAGAAAGGCACTTCCAGGCAAGAAAATGCTGGGCCTCCTTCTACAAGCTTGGTGAGTAACCAAGCTACTAGGAGGATAGAATGGGAGGTGGCTCTAGGAATAGTCTTTTAGCTCATAGAGGGCACTGAGTGCTATACTAAGAAATTTGTACTTTATTCTGTCAATCCCTTGCAGATATGGGACCCTGTCTGTCTTATCCAGTAATGCCTCGCACTTTGTAGATGCTCAATGAAAGAATATATTATTTATTAATTAATGCCGTTTCCTTAATAAACAACAGAAATATTGGAAGGCGGACCAGTTGGGCTTCAACCATCTGGTCAACCTCCATCTACTTTTTACAGTAACTGAAGCATCCTCTACTGGAAGTGGCCTCAGCCTGTGAGGAACTGCGAACCGGAAAGTCCACCTTGGGAATGATGGGAGTAGAGGTGCTGGAATTGGGGGCGGGCCCCAAGGAAAGCAATTGAGTGGGTTTCTCTGAGTCTCTGCAACATGGCTGCCCTGAAACCAGCTGACCGGCAGGAGGCGGAGCTTCTCCCAGCTCGCCGGGCCTCCACCCCCGCTCGGCCCCGCCCAGCGCCCCCCTCGGCCGGGGCGGCGCGGGTTGTGAGGTGTCTGAGGCGAGCGCCTGCGCAGTGGGCAGCGGGGCGCGGGGCGGAGGCTTTATAACCACTTCGTCGCCGCCGCTGGGTTTCTATCTCCGGGAGGGCGGCTGAGGCGGCGGCGGCCCGGGCGCCGGCTGGGGGGCGCTGAGGCGGGAGCTGTGGCGGCGCTGGACGCCCCTAGCCCCGCGGCCTCTGCGGGCCATGGGCTCCGAGAAGGACTCCGAGTCGCCGCGCTCAACATCCCTACACGCGGCCGCGCCCGACCCCAAGTGCCGCAGCGGCGGCCGGCGCCGACGCCTCACCTTCCACAGCGTCTTCTCCGCCTCGGCCCGCGGCCGCCGCGCCCGGGCCAAGCCGCAGGCCGAGCCGCCGCCCCCGGCCGCGCCGCCGCC